TCCAGAAATGGGAAGTGTTTTAAACAAATGTGTGGGAAAAGATTCATGCATAAATACACAGTGAACTATAAAAAACCTAAAAATAAATATATCCAGATTGCTCTAATTTACAGTACAGGTTGGAGCTCCCTCATCCGGCACCCTCGGGACCTGACTGGCCCCGAACAAGGGGTTTGCCGGACCATGGGAACATGGCCCTTCCAACATGGCCCATGGTGTCCTGATGCCCCCGGCTAGAGCTCCAGCCCAGCCCTTGGGAGCGCCATGGCTGTGGCCAGAGTGCCACAGCTGGAGCTCCATGGCTGCCGCTGCCATCCCCAAGCTCCACGGCCGGGGCCGCAGCTCCTCGGTTGCTGCTGCTGGCCCCTGAGCTCCATGGCCAGGGCCAGAGTTCTGCACCTGCTACTTCCAGCCCCTACTACCGTCTGGCCGCAGGGGCCAGAACTTCCTGGTGTGCTGCCCATCACTCTGTGCCCTGTCTCCCAGCTGAGTCTCCACACCCCCTCTGCCGCTTCTGTTCTGCTGCCTGACCTCCCTATACCTGGTCTCTGTGGTCCAGGAACATCCACGGCTCTGGTGAGGCCACATCTGGAATACTGTGTCCAGTTCTGGGCCCCCCACAATAGAAAGGATGTGGACGCATTGGAGAGGGTCCAGTGGAGGGTGACAAAAATGATGAGAGGGCTGGAGCACATGACCTGTGAGGAGAGACTGAGGGATCTGGGTCTGTTTAGTCTGCAGAAGCGAAGAGTGAGGGGGGATTTGATGGCAGCCTTCACCTTCCTAAAGGGCGGTTCCTAAGAGGTTCTCCAAATGGAGAAAGGCTGTTCTCAGTAGTGACAGATGGCAGAACAAGGAGCAATGGTCTCAAGTTACAGTGGGAGAGGTCTAAGTTGGTGTGACGGGGCGGCCCCGCCCCGCACTCAAGCCCAGGGAAACCACCTGGTCCGGGGGCAGAGAGAGCCCCACCCACACAGCCCTACTGGGCATGCTCCAAGGGGAGCGCAGGTACAAAAGGCTGCTGGCCTGCTCAGAAGGGGCAGACTGCAGCCCGAGCTGGAGCTAGCGTCCAACTGCCAGAGAGGGAGTCGCCAGGAGGGCTGAACGTGCCACTGCCGAGCCTGAGCCGGGCTCGGCCCCAACGCCACAGCCACCAACTGACCCCCCCATGACCCGAGTGCCGGACCGGACACTGCCAACTCCAACGCTGACCGGGGAAGTACCAGTACAGCCATCCGAGCAACGCCGACAGGTGGGACCGCGACGGGCCGGGGCAGGGGGTAGGAAGTGACCCAGGGCTCACTAAAAGCCCCTGAGGGCTCGGGGCGTTGCGGGGAGGAGCCCCTGCTGAGCCAGTGGTGGGAGCCACCCGCCACTACTAGGGCCCTGGGTCGGGGCCTGGTGGAGAGGGAGGGCCCAGGCCCCCCTACCCCTCCTTCCCTGTCCCCTGGTGAGTGGGGGCTGGGATAAAGAACTTTGGACTAGGCCTCTGGGCCTGCGAGCTGTGGACTAGGTCGGGAGGTCGTATTTCCCCTAGTGCAGGGGCAGTGAACTCTGGACTAGGCCGGGAGGCCATATTTCCCCGACCGCAGGGGCAGTGAACTTTGGACTAGGCCGGGAGGCCGTATTTCCCCTATTGTGGGGGCAGTGAACTTTGGGGGTTAGGCCGGGAGGTCGTATTCCCCCTAAAAAGGGGCACCACGCTTCGGGCCGAGGCCCAAGCTGTGTGAGTGATGCCCCGGAGGAGGGTGGCAACCCCCGGCAAGGGGGGGGGGGACCCCGACAGTTGGATATTAGGACAAACTATTTCACTAGGAGGGTGGTGAAGCACTGGGATGGGTTTCCTAGGGAGGGGGTGGAATCTCCATCCCTAGAGGTTTTTAAGTCTTGGCTTGACAAAACCCTGGCTGGATTCATTTAGTTGGGATTGGCCCTGCCTTGGGCAGGGGGCTGGACTTGATGACCTCCTGAGGTCTCTTCCAGCTCTATGATTCTATGTTGCCAGATCAGAAAGTCCCGATTAAGGGAGGTACAACCTGCATTTGTAATACACTCATTGGCAGATTATACATATATGAAATGCCAGATTTTTCTCTGGAATTGTCATTTAGATTTAGTAATGCTGCAACTAGTAATTTACTCACCATATCCTTAAGTTGCCTATTGTTTTCCCTGCATTCCTGATGGAATCTTGGGCAGAACCTTCTTTTTATTGCAAGAAATCATCCTTCTATCTCATCTTTGAAACCCCATATTTTCAACCGTCTTTCTGACTCTGTTCACTGTATGTCTACACAGCAACATTATTTTGAAATAACTAGCGTTACTTCAAAACAACTTAGGCTGTGTCTACACACTTGGAAGTTATTTCAAAATAATGTTGAAATACTGTTAAGTTGGAGGACTTCTTACTCCGACTTCTGTTGTAATCCTCATTGTACGAGGAGTAAGGGAAATTGGAGGAAGAGTGCTCTATTCTGAAATAAATGCTGTGCAGACGCTCCCAATTTCAAAATAAGCTAGACAATTGACATAGCTCAATTTGCATAGCTTATTTCGAGTTAAGACCTGTTGTGTACACTCACCCTTAGTGTGTAATTTATATGCCAAGGATCTAGAAGATATAAATTTGTCATCCTACTTTAAGACTATTTTTTAAATTCTTTATTCTGCTGCGTGGTTTATGTTATAGCAATTCAAACTCATTTACAAATCCGTAAGTAGTGTCAGTACATCGACATGAACTGTGTAGAGATATAACTTGAATAACACTCCTGAATTTTAGCAAAACATTTTCTAACTTTTCCTATTTTCACTGGGAAATCAATGACAAAAATATTAAGTAAATTGTTCCAAATATTTTCATAAAGTGGGTAATGTTAAATTATATGCAAAAAAAACTTCCAAAGTTTTAATGTAAATCTGTTCCTGGCATTTTGTTTTTATAAACTTTTATAAACTTTATTATTTGGGAAATCTGTATTTTTATTAGCATCTTGATCATGTATCAGGCCTGTGATCTGAGTAACTTAAGACCGGAAGTAATACATGTAGCACTGAGGCTGAGGATTTCTGTAGGGGATTATGAGTTGGCTTCAGAGCTCAGTTAACATTAGCATCTATGAGTTTTTGAGCACAACCACTCCCATATATGGCTACTTAGCACTTCATCACTGGTGGTGGTGGTCATAACTTGGAAACACTTCATACCCATAAATAAATGAACCCAACAGGAATAGCCATTCCATATGAAATTTCAGCAATGTCTTAAAGGCAAGGGGCATATTCCCAACAGCCAGGGCAGCTAATGAAAAGAATTTTGGATTTGGCACAAAGTATCTTTTAATGCACTCACAAAGGCACATTCCTGATGCAGAGCTTTAGCTGCTGCTGTCATCCGTTGACATTTGCCTTTTTCGTTTTCTTAATAGCGTGCTATGTTCCCAAAAGGCAAGTTAACGGAGAGAAATCTGACAGTGAAATATTTTTCCAGAATTAGGTATTAGTGGAAATTCTGGGTTTCTGCTACTTTCTCAAGAAGGGAGATTAGTAGCTTAATCTTAAGTAAAAAAAATAAAAAACCTGATTCTATGTTGAAAAGTGACTGTGTAAAAATGGCCCCTTCTAACTCATCAGCACTGCTCTCTCTAAGTATTCAGAATCAGATTTCACTTTAGTGACATACAATTTTACTGCTGTCAGAACTGAAGAACCTACACAGCTAAAGAGAAAGCCAGCATGACTGGAATTCCTTGCCAGAGGATGTTGTGAAGACCAGGACTTTAATAGGGTTTAAAAAAGAACTAGGTACATTCATGGGAGTTAGGTCCATCAATACTTATTTGCCAGGATGTATAGGAAAGGTGTCCCTAGCTCCTGTTTGTCAGAAACTGGGAATGGGTGACAGGAGATGGATCACTTGATGATTCTCAGTTCTGTTCACTCCCTCTGGAGCATTTGGCATTGGCCACTGTTGGAAGACAGGATACTAGGCTAAACGGACCATTGATCTGCTCCAGTATGGTTGTTCCTGTGTTATTCTTATGCTGCATTAAGATTCAATGCTGGTTTACACAGCACCAACAGAACTGAAGATGGATGGATGGAGACCGGATTTGCCACAGATACATGGAGTGGTAAGGATGAGAGAGGAGCTAGGACTGGAAATATGGGCTACCAAGAGGTTGTAAAATGAAGGAAAATGGAGAGGAAAGGAGGGCAGCAGAACAGACTGGTGGTGTGTGGAAAAGTAGAAAATTAGGCAGGGACTATAGGGTTGGTGGGGAACATAAGGAGTCAGAGGGAGAGCAGAGACAAGGGCATGAGGAAACAGGTAGATCGGTAGCTCAAAGAAGCTTCACTCTCTATTGGTCAGCATTCTCCAATGCTGGGGAATTCCAAAACATATTGCACTCAGTATGTGCAGTCTGAATCAGCTGTCCTTATGCCCCATCAGTGAGAGAAATGCAGTGAGACTGAGATGGTATATTCCTTGGGCTCACTTAGTGACCATTCTCAAAGACTGAAGATCAGCTTGGTCTCAGTGACCAGCCTCAGAAAACCTCGGAGATTGCATCTCTCAAAAGACAACTCTAGGGTGGTCCTTTTGTTTTAATTTCATGCTAGCTATGAATGGTCCCACATCAGTGTTGTGTTCAGGACTGACAAGTGTGGAAACTTCAATGTGAATAGCACCATTACTAAATCAAGTAGATCCCAAAATGCATTAGACTCTAATTGGATCATTGTTTTGGACACAAGAAAATCAGCTTCAGTGAGGTCTCAATAAGATGTTTTCTCTAAGGCATGTTTTAGACTGTATAAATAAGGTGGATAAATATGAAAACTATAATCCTTTTTGTCTGCATCATAGGTTATGGGAGATCACTTTTATGGCATTTTTTGAAGACTCATTGCCAAAGAACAACTATCACTGACCCTCAAGAGACAAGACAAATAGGTAAGTGTTTGTTTGCATGGCATTTCTATATCCTACATGCCTATTTGTAGAAAATTTAAAATAAGCCATTGCATGGTGTAACCTGGGGATTCCTTTAACAGTTTCACGCTGCATCATATGAATGAACACTACGTGACTGTGGGAATGAAGGAGAGAAAAGTGTGACTGACTTTTAATCAATATGATAATTAAAGAGTCTCTGAGAAGCAGCAATGAACAAATAACATAGCTCAACTGGTTCAGCAAAATATAGCTTAAGGAGTGTCAAAAGAAATGATTTCAGTTATCCCCTTTGGGTTTCCGGTTCACCTAGGTTGCCCCCATATGTTGGGATGTTCCCAGAACAAGTAGCTGGGATTCTTGCCTTGGGGGATAAGGGAATGCCATTTTCCCAGACTTCAAGAGCCAGTACAGGTGCAATAAAAGGGAACTGTAGCAACTTGCAAACAGCAATTAAAGGAAGCACCTGAAACAAATAAGACTAAAAGCAATTATTTTAGCTATACAAATCACCTCCCAGAAAAGATTCTCACAGTTATTTTCTGTCTTTGCATTATTACATGTTCATAGCCATCAGCAACAACTCCAAGGTATGATTATGCTCAGTTACTGCCAAATTGTGCTTCCTGTGACAGAAAGGATTAAACTGCACTAGCAAAATAGCTACTGCTTTCCCAGTGGCTTCAAGTTGCAGTCCCTACCTTTTGTTCAGTTTGTGAAAGATAGGTCTGAACAGAGGCTGAATCCAAATATCCCTGACCATGATGAAGTTCAGATCTGGATTCTAACTTGCCAGCTTTGGCCAAATTCCTGAACTAGATGTTATTTCTATTTCTTTCATTTTCTGGTGACTTTCTTTTGCTGAAAATCTGCTGGAAAATTATTCCTAAATCTTTCAAAATGTTCCCAAGACCTTTCCTGCAATGCCTCCTCCACACCTACTAGGGATGGATGGACACACAGGAACCAAATTTTTGCAGGACTGAAGTGGTAGCATTTATGCACAGTGGTAATGTAGCTTTGCAGCATGTTCCTCTGCTCCTGAGCAGTTATTACTATCCCATCCACACCAATAATGCAACAATGGAGCCTGTGTTAAAATGCTCTGTGACTGGCTGGGTGAATGCAGGAATCAGGGAACATCTGCTCTATGCAGCATATTTCTAGCCTGAAATGGCAGATAGAATGACAATGAAAACCATGATTTAAGTCTTCTCTGAGCCTGAGCAGTATTAATTTCTCCTCCATGTTGTTTGACCCCCCACCCCGCTTTTCCCGGATGGGGTTACATAAGTGAATCAACAGAGCAATAATACCAGATGCACAGACAGAAGTCCCACATTTGGCTTGATACTCTACCAGTGGGTGCCTGGCTGTAGTAGTGCTGTAGGTCTATATCCCTGGCTTTTCTCTACATCCACTGGTCCTCCCCTTTATGCAGGGGACAGTGGAACTGATCTTCAGGAGGCAGAGTTATTTAAGCAAGGGTTCCCTCTGCAGTTTTTTAATGCAGAAGAGAATCACAGAAGCCTATAACAGAGATGAGTACAAGGGTGTAAACCATTCAGCCAGGGTTGAAGAGACACCTATTCAAATGGAAGTTTTGAAAGAAAAAAAAATCTTCCAGCATAAGCCAGAGTGGGCAAGAAGAGGCTGCCAGTGGGCCACATCCAGCCAGCCAAGCCACCGGATCTGGCCCACGGCCACCTCACCAGAAACCTCAGATAGAAAGCTCATGCCTTAAAAAGCCAGCTACTCTGCGCTCTGGACAGCTGGGGAGGGAGGAGGGAGTCTTCGCACGCTGCCACTCCCTTTCCCCCAGCCACTAGGAACTGAGAAATTTTGCTGGGGTCAGGGGCAGAGCGGGAAACCTTTTCCCTCCCTCTGCCCCTCATGCCAGGAGCAGACACGTGTGGAGCAGAGCAGCCTTCAGCACAGTTTGCTTCAGGTTTCTACAAGGCTGCTGGCTGGGAGCCACCTAGGTAAGCGCCTTCCAGCCAGAGCCTGCCTGTGGCATCCCACACCCTCTCTCCCCTCCAACAACATGCCCCTTGCCACCACCCAAACCCTCTGTACCTCTTTTCCCCCTTCTCCCAGGTCACAACTCCCTCCCACACCTTGCACCCCCTGCAATACCTCCTCTCCTGCACACATACCCCCTCCTGGCCCCTGCACCTCATTCCCCTGCCGCAGGTCAACACCCAAGCCCTCTGCACTCCCTTCACCCAGGTCACAACTCCCTCCCAGACCTTGCACCCTCTTCCAAAGCCCCTCCCCCAGACCATAATCCTTTCCTGCACCCATACCCCCTCCTGGACCCTGCACGTAGGGTTGCCAGGTGTCCGGTTTTCACCCGGACAGTCTGGTATTTTCGCCTCCTGTCCGGTAAAAAAATTCAGAGAATACCAGACACCTGAGATGTCCGGGATTCTCTGAATTTTTCCCCAGCCAGGAGGCGAAAATGCCAGGCACCTGGCAACCCTACAAACATTCAGCGCCCGACCTCCCCTAGCCTCCAACACCCCCAGCCTCCCGATCCTAGCCCCCATGCTTACCTGGTTCCCCAAGTCTACCCCCGACCCCAGCCCCCATGCTTACCTGGTTCCCCAAGACTGCCAGCACAAAATGGCTGCGAGCCAAAAGACCTGGGTCTTAGTGCTTAACTGCTCCCCTGCTCCTATCCCTGCACTTACTCTTAAAGAGGACATGCTGTTTTATGTTAATTTTTTTTGGCTTAAGAAGTCCTTAAGAAGTTTTTTTTTTTGCTCAACAACTTTGGTCTCTCACCCCATTTTTTCCCCTTCAACAGAATTTTTTTTTTTTTTTCTTCCCCTCAATGGAATTTTTTCCCTGGTGGGTTTTTTTTTTTTGGGGGGGGGGGGGAGGCGAGTGTTCGGTATTTTTGTTTCAGCCATCTGGCAACCCTACCTACACATCAAGCCCCTGCCCCAGATCACAGCCCCCTCCTTCACCCAACATTCCTCTCAGACCCCTCACCCCCTGGTGTACCCCATTCCCTTTCCCCAATCTCCCTTCTGCGCCCAACCTCCATCCCAGACCTGACACCCCCTCCACAGAAGTGTGGCCCTTGACCACTTGCCAAACAAAATCTTGGAGAGGCCCCCCATTAAAAATTATTGCCCACCTGTTTTAAATTACAGGTGGACTCAGGATCCAAGCACTCCATAATTTACAGCAAACTCCGAACGTGTTGTGAAGCTCTCACAAAAGGCCCATTTCTCAATTGAAGCCTATCACTGTAGTAGCAGATGAACTGATTTGTTTTTGTTTGTTCTGGTGAACTTCGCATGAACTTCATTTAACTGCTGGATTCAAATGTCCCCCTGAGTTCCTACTGTTAAAAGGTTCTATTACTGTCTGAGTTCATCTTCAGGTCATGGGTCACTGATTGAGACAGAGTTTGTACTGCAGCCTCTTTTTCATGAAAGACTTATTAACCAAAGACACAGACCATCAAATGTTTGTGTCTTGAAAAGTAGATGACGCTAATGAGATCATTGGTTCCTATGATATTTAAAATGACAATGAGGAAGTGGACGCAAAAGTTAAAAACGTACTTGACCTCAATTTGTTACATTATTCGCTTTGTATGTTTATTTTAGGATGAATATAGCACTGTAGGAAATGAGGTAAGCACTCTGATGATCATCACTTAAATGAGTCCCCTTCCTCAGAAACTCACTAACAACTATTCAGTCTTGCTTCTTTCATACTGAATATTCTCTTTTCCCCTTGCTTGGGGACGTCTATGGGATCTGAAATCACAGGGCTTCTGGGAACTGTATGATTTGTTTATTCTTACTACTTTTCAAGGGTGCAGAATCAGGATCTATGAAGTTAATTCCATTATCAACACAGTAGATTGTGGAAACTCTCATATTATTGTAAACAATTTGCTTTAGACTGCCTCATTGTTTCTGGATCAATACCATGACTTGTCATTTTTGCTGAAAAAGAGGGGTGCACTGGTAGTGAAATTTTGCTTGACAAAATTTGAAGACAGGAAAAGAATAATAATGCCTTCCATACAAGTACAGGTTGGACATTCCACGTCTGGCAGCCTCAGGACTGTCTGGTCTCAGATGAGGGATTTTGTCTGACTAGGAGAGATCATTTCTTGCCCCCCTGCCAACAGGCCCCTCCCCCCCCCCCCAGCCACGGCCCAGCTGTCAGACTGCTCATTCTCTCATTGTACACATCCTTGCCGGTCCCAACGGGTAGCCCAGCTATGGTGCACCAAGCTCCTGGCTCCTCTGGGCAGCCCTGCTGTGGCATGCTGAGATCCCGCCCTGCTGGGCAGCTCATTGCTTGGCAGCCCACTGCCCTGCCAGCCTGCAGGGCTCCTAGCTGGCAGCCCTCCACCAGGACTCTTGTCCCAGAACTTCTGTGGTCCTATTTGACCACGGATGCTGCCAGATCAGAAAGTCCCAGTTTAGAGAGGTTCAACCTATATAAGTCTTCATGTTTAATGCTGCGGAAAAGGAAAATTGTAAGTCTTTTTTACTGCTCTTTTATTTATCTGAATCTACTCATTTTTGTCAGCTACTTTCCCAGCTACTTCCACCCTATAAAGTCTATTCATCATGGAAAGAGACAAAAATCATTAATGCCTACAGTTAAACATCATCAAATGTTTGGCTGACTGCCACTGATCAGTAAGTTGCTTGTTCCCCCCTGTGTAACAAGTTGAGAGCTGAAAAATTAAGCAAATGTTCTCCCCCCCCATCCCCTCTGGAGAGTAAAAAGGGCCCTCAGACACACTGTGATCAGCCCCTGAAAGATTCAGAGTGATTGCTATCTTTGTGGAAAGACTGAATAAACACCTTTACATAAACAAACCATGTTCCTCATCTTATTGAAGATTTATTTCTTCGGCTTGAAGTCTGAGACTAAGTTATAGATAGTAATAAAATCAACTCTTGTAACCAAGATTTTACTCTCAGGCAAAAAAATTTCTTTTTTTGTTTTGTTTTACTACTTCAAAATTCATGCCCACTCAGATAATCCCTAAACAATTTCCGCAAGTCAATTTAAAAATTTGAGTCAATTGGTTACTTCGCTCATTCTCTCATTGTGAACATCTATTTCTTTGGAATCTGAAAACTACTAAAACAATGGAGGGACAGGTGGCACTATGGAGATCTCGGGAAATATTTGTATTAACATTATGTGTTTCCATGCTCACTTATGCCTTGCTACCTACTATGTATGAAGTGGTTAATTTTTTTTTTCAGAGTAAGTGATGACTTGACTATATGTAGGCCACACAGACACGTCAGGTTTGGTGTGAATGAGCTGTTACTATCTGACATGTGAATGGAGATACCTTAGGTTAGGGTGTGTCTACACTGCACCTGTAGCTCGAAATAAGCTACACAATTTGAGCTATGCAGTGCCAAAATGTCAAAATAACCCGCTATTCTGAAACTTTCCTTACTCCTCGTGGAACGAGGTTTACAGGGACATCAGAATACCGAGCCAGTTTTATTTCGAAATAACAGGTGTGCTGTTAAGATGCGGGATAGATTTTAAATAGCACTGCTGTGTAGACATAGCCTTAGAGACACAATGGAGACCAATGATCAAAGTATTAACTTTGAATGACTCCAGTCAAGGGGACTTTTTGGAAATGGATAGGCAAATTACTTATTTGACTACAAGTTCTCCCCTATCTAAATGCATGGGGAGGGCAGTACATGATAAAACAGCATGGCCAGAAAGGACTGAGGTGTTAGGAGAGAATTCTGCTCTCCCATAGAATGACACAATTCAATCCAGAATGAATATGCAAGGCCAGGAATTGGGTGCTAGACAAGTCCTGCCTAATTAATCCAGGAGAAGCTGGTGAATTAGGCAAGACACAGTTGGTCAGGCTCTGCTTTGCCATTTTAGTTCTAAATGCTGCACAGGACAGAGAATGAAACCCCATGCAGTATTTTATGATTCCCAAAGATCCTAAGTTTACAAATGATGTATATATCACAGTGGGTCTAGGACTATATGCAACTCTGGGGGAGGAATATGGCTGCCACAGCTCCTCCAAGAACCAAAAATCTCTGTGTGGGTGGGCAGTGGGGCAATTGAGGTGAATTACTTAAGTTGTAAACACTTCAAGAGAGGTACCTGCACCACACAGAGGCTTAAATAAGCTGGTTTAAACTGAGTTATACAGAGACCAACACAAAGAAAAGTCTGTGGATATAAAAAGGATAGGTTTAAACTACTTGTTGCCTCTATATAAAACCATGGTACGCCCACATCTTGAATATTGCATTCAGATGTGGTCGCCTCATCTCAAAAAAGATATATTGGCATTGGAAAAGGTTCAGAAAACGGCAACAAAAATGATGAGGGGTTTGGAACGGGTCCTATATGAAGAGAGATTAAAAAGACTTGGACTTTTCTGCTTAGAAAAGAGGTGAGTAAGGGGGGATATGATAGAGGTCTATAAAATCATGACTGGTGTGGAAAAAGTGAATAAGGAAAAGTTATTTACTTATTCCCACAATATAAGAACTATGGATCACCAAATGAAATTAATGGGCAGCAAATTTAAAACAAACAAAAGAAAGTTCTTCACTCAGCGCACAGTCAACCTGTGGAACTCCTTGCTAGAAGATGTGGTAAAGGCTAGGACATTAACAGGGTTCAAAAAGAGCTAGATAGATTCATGGAGGTTAGGTCCATCAATGGCTATTAGCTAGGATTGATAGGAATGGTGTCCCTAGTCTCTGTTTATCTGGAAATGAATGACAGGAGAGGGTTGATGATTCCCTGTTCTGTTCCCTCCCTTTCAGGCATCTGGTATTGGCCACTGTCAGTAGACAGGATACTGGGCTAGATGGACCTTTGGTCTGACCCAGTATGGACGTTCTTATGTTCAACTGATTCAGGGCCTTATTTCTGATCCTGCAAACCTTCTGGCCAAAGAGGGATCTCAACTCTTGTGTAAGTGTTGAAATGGCTTTGGCCTGCTAAGGCCCCAGCAGATTGCTGCATGTCTCCTAGTACGTTTAGTTTCACGTGGCATACCGGAGCGGTCAACAAAGGAAGCCTTTGTCAACCATGCCACATCTAGACTGCCACACTGTGCCGGATCAGCTGATTGTCGGCACCGTGTGGCGGCCATTTTTATTTTAATAAAGCAAGGATTATTTAAATCCCCGCTTCATTGACTATGCCGGGTAAATTACTTTACATGGCTCCATCGACAGAGCCATGTAGTCTAGACATACCCTCAGCAACAGAGTTAAGAGTAGCCATCTTTTTACAAAAAGCAAACTTCAAATCTAGATTACAAAGCGAACCAGCAGAACTGCCATTCATTTTCAAATTTAACATGGTCAAATTAGGACTAAATAAAGACTAAGAATAGTTCTCTCACTACAAAGCAATTTTCTGGCTCTTGGTAGTCACAGCTCCCCATTAACCGCTGGGAGTGAGCCACAACCTCTGTAACTGAATTGGCCTTTTTAACACTGAGTCCAACAGTCAATAAGCAATTCCCTTCTTTTGATATGCTAGTACACATTCCCCTGCCTCTGTGATTTCCACTGCATGCATCTGACGAAGTGGTTTCTACCCAGGAAAGCTTATGCCCAAATACATCCGGTAGTCTTTAAGGGACTACAGGACTCCTCAATGGATCCCATTTACAACTTTGGCACTGAATATTATAAGCATCCAAGAAAAAGGGTATTACACAACTTCATGTTAAAAATAATCACATAAAATTTCACTAACAGCAACAACAATAATCACGGGGTGGGAAAGCCAACAGGGAAAATGGCAAGACAGATTGCTTAAAATGAGACAGGGAAGGTGCCAATTTGGATGCCTAAAACTGCACATCTGAAACAGTTTATAGAAGTTCCACATATCCCTAGATGTTGTAATGCAGGATGATTATCCTACACAACCTTGCACATTTGAATAAGCAACAGCTTGCAATAAATTCAAAACATGCTCATTTCCAAAAATAAGATGCTTTCCCACAGAAACAAGCAACAATTTTCCAAGACGTTCTAACATCCTGGGGTGTATGGCTGAGAAGTCTGTAACTAGCTGCCAAATTGGTCATACATATTGTGTCAAAGCTCTTCCTTTGTCTTAGTGGGGCCTGCAATTTCAGGCAGATGACTTACCTCAGAGGCTCACAGCAGCCCTCAATTTAGACGGTGCTTGCTGTTTGTTGAGCTACATTGGCTAGCATGGGGAAAAGAGAGGAAACCAAACTTCATAGTCTCTGTGGTCCCTCCAAGTGGTACAGAGTAGGACAAACCCTTGTATCAATACCAGTCTCTTTCTAGTCCTAAAACGGGGAGCTGGATGGGAGGGGGGAACCTCTATTCCAGGTTCAGGCCCAGGAACCCTGTAATGGCAGCGGTCTGTAATGTTTCTGGTAACAGCTACAAATCCCTGAGTCACTTCCCCATAGCCTGCCCCAGCACCTTCCTTACTGGAGGTTCTTCCTTCTATTATCTGCTTGCACTTTCTTCTCCAAGACTCTCCTCCACACTTTCTCGCATCAGTTCTTTCCTCTCACAGAGTATAAATATACCCCAAGAGAGTGAAAATCCTATTCTTTCAGGCATCACCAACCAAATGATTTACTGAGTACTGTTGCAACTGCAATGAAGGAAAAGATCTCAATGAAGAAATAACCTTTTATTAGTAGGCATGGATTATTACTAATCATGATGTACAAGAATGAAACACTCCAATTCTTCTCAGATCCCAGGCTGAGCATACGTGACAGGCAATTAGAAAGATTATCTACAGAATCACCAATAGCATTTTACAGACTTTTTTTTTCAGTGTACAATAGCACTGTAAATGCAGTGACAGATGAGAAAGATCTTGAAAGAATTACTCTGCAACATCATGTGTTTTAAACTTCAGGAACTGACTCAGGGAGGAAATGAAAACAGACCAATAACAATGAAATTATCAGCAGAGAAGTTCATTGCCAGCTGAATTTTTCGCTTTTTTTAAACAACTTTTTTGGAAAAATTTAACAAAACCCACTACTAAATATGGTAATTAAAAAAAAAATTAAATTAGCAATTACTTTTTATTCACTTCCTATTTCAGAGCTCACGTAACGACTTTTTATCTCAAGCAAATTATAAAAGTCTACTATTACTTTGCAGTTACATAGCATCTTTTGTTAGAGGCTCCAAAACATGTTACGATGATTATATAATTAGGTATAATTGTCCAGCTTTTATAGAATGACAGACTGAGGCACAGAGCAATTAAATGACTTGGCCAACGTTCCGCAGTAAATAAGTGACAGCATGAGAACCCAAGAAGTCCTAAGGGTTCGAACACCAAGATCCCATTGCCTCTCTTCAACTGGGACTATAGTGACAAAAGAAAAGGCAAGCAGGTCTCCACCGTCAAGCAATGCCATTACCCGTATACTCTACATATCATTACATAGCTACTATTAATTATACTGTCACTAAGTCCCCTTAAAAAAGTGCTAAAAGGAGCAAGTGTCTTGACAGTCTCCACTTGGGAAAGTTGATTAACCACCTCACTTCCACAGCGAAGAAACCACGAAACAAGCAAGTTTTATCTATTACAAAAATATAACTTACTCAAGAACAGAATGAGTTGCTGCCTGCGGATGGTAGCGATACTGGAGCAGGCACTGGTCAACTCGAAAGACTCCACCACCCTTTCGGATATGTTCATAAAAGAACAGCAAGTCTTCTGGTACACCCTGTGGAGAGAGAGCTCATTCAATACAAAAGTCACCAGCGTTTCAAGTTAAAATATTTCAAGTGACAGAGTGCATATTTCATTCTTTTGTCAAATAAATAAAATAAAATTCATCTCTTTTTGCTAACCTCTAAAGTTCTCTAATGTGGTTTTAAACAAATTTACCAGCTTGAAACTGAAGCACTATGAGTCAAAGTTGACTGGCGCAACCTTTGGAATTCCTTGCCAGAGGATGTTGTGAAGACCAGGATTTAACAGGGTTCAAAAAAGAGCTAGATACATTCATGGAGACAGGTCCATCAGTACTTATTAACCAGGATACATAGGAATGGTGTCCCGAGCTTCTGTTTATTGGGGCTGGAAATGGATGACAGGAGAGGGATCACTTGATGTTTATCTGTTTCTGATCACTCCCTCTGGGGCATCTGGATTGGCCACTGTTGGAAGACAGGATTCTGGGCTAGATGGACCTTTGGTCTGAGCCAGTATGGTGGTTCTTTTGTTCTTATGGGGATAAGAATGGCAAAAGAAAGGTAATAGTAGAGATTTCTGGGGGCACCACTGGCGCGTCAAAAATAGGGCAAATTGCGTAGAGACAGGGATACTTCCAGCCCAAGACTGACGTCCTCCACTGTATGGCACCAAACCAATCACAAAGAGCACTTCTGTTCATCATACCATCTAGCAAGAAGTCAAACAAGCACTTCCCTTAGACATTCCAGCTTTCCTGTACCAACCTTTCATAGATGAGAGGCTATGAAAACCAATCTCACCAAATCCAAACAGGTTCTTCTGATCCCAAAGGACCAGATACACATATTCAGGTCAATTTATACCTCAAATCTTACCCAAAAGAACACTGTCCAATCCTTTAGAATCTAAAATCTAAAAGTTTCTTAATAAAAATGAAGGAAAGGATGAGAGTAAAACTGTTAAAGAAATCAAATTACACACACCAATTGCCAAGTTCTTGATGCAGGCTTGTAGCAGAGATGGAATATCTACTGCTTTATAAGTCTGTGGTATACATCCTCTGTTAGGATGGGTCATCAGTCCTTTCACACTCAGCGTAAGAACGGCCACACTGGATCGGACCAATGGTCGATCCAGCCCAATATCCTGTCTTGCCGACAGTGGCCAATATCAGATGCCCCAGAGGGAGGGAACACAACAGGTAATCCTCAGGTGATCCCTCCCCCATCATCCACCTCCAGAGAAACAGAGGCCAGGGACACCATTCCTACCCATCCTGGCTAATAGCCATTGATGGACCTAACCTCCATGATCTAGCTTTTTTTTGAACCCTGTTAAAGACCTAGCCTTCACCACATCCTCTGGCAAGGAGTTCCACAGGTTGTCTGTGCCCTGAGTGAAGAAAAACTTCAAATGCTTATAGCAATGCCACAAGCATTTGAAAAATTTAAAGTAAAACATGGTTTAAAAATATGTCTCCACTAATTTCTCTCCTCCCACTCATTATTTATGAGAGGCCATGTGATTACTGTGCAAATGAACAATTGCTTTAAACAATAAGGTGTATTCAGCATTTGAGTGTCACGCCTACTAAAAGCTGAAGAGGCAACAGAAGAGAAAGATAAACACAACAAAGAGAAAGAGAGAAGCATCTACATTAACTCTCTCGGGTGACATCAGGTAGGCAGAAACAGCCTAATGCTTTTGCATTTATTGCAGGTATTATTTTTACAGAACAAATAAGAAATACACTAACCAAATAAAAAGATTAAAATATTGTGTCTATTGCCATAACTTCTGTGTTCTTCACCTTATTAGGAAAATACAATTAAAATAAGTAATTTCGACAACCTTTTACCCTGCCCCTCACTCTAGTTCACATTGTTGGTAATAGCGGAGAATGAGAGTTGTAAATTACAATTGGAAATAGAGCTATAGAGTCTAGTGTATCAGAGAAGACACAATTTAGTTGCAATGAGTAATTAAGGGTTCTTTGGGGTGGCTGGGGGGACAAAGACTCATTCTGTGGTCTTCAGCCATGGTGGAACAGTTTACTGCAGAAGAGGCTTTCTAACTCCCAAAGAGATTAGCATGGTTAATGTGTTGTTAAGATCACCACTTTAGAGTATACCTAAGACCTGGCCTGGACTAAGCAGCCAAAGAAGCACAGTTGAGTACTCTCAAAGATGATCCGAAAACGCCCCTCTGGGAGAATTCAGAACTAGAACTTGTTCTAAATTTTGCAATTCAGGTCCAGGGTTGCCAGATGTCTGGCTCTCGATCAAAAAACCTGGCTGAAAAGGACTCCTGGCAGCTATGGTCAGTACTGTTGACTGGGCCGTTAAAAGTCAGGTCAGCAGTGCAGCAGGGCTCCGTGTGGCTCCCCCCCCCCCCCCCAATGGCTCCTACACATAGGGGCAGCCAAGGAGCTCCACACAGTGCCCCTGCCCCAAGTGACAGCTCTGCATCTCCTATTGGGCAGGAACAGTAGCCAATGAGAGCTGATGGGACAGTGACTGTGGAGGCACTTGGCCATGCCTCCACCTAGAACCTAGAGGGGGGACATGCTGCTGCTTCAGGTTGCTGCTTAAAGTGAGTGCTGCTTGGAGCCTGCATGCCTGAGGCCACCCCTCTGACCCCAGCATCCCAACCTCCTGCCCCAGCCCCAAGCCCCCTCCCTCACTCTGAACCCGAGTCCCAGCCTGGAGCCTCCTCCTGCAACTCAAGTCCCTCATTCCCAACCCCACAAAAAGAGCCTGCATCCCCAGCCATAGCTCTCAACATCCCCCTACCCCAACCTGATGAAAATGAGCAAGGGTGGGGAGAGTAAGTGAAAGATGGAAGGGAAATGGAGTGAGCAGGGACAGGGCTTCAGAAAAGGGATGGGCCAGGGCAAGAGTATTTGGTTTTGTGCAAGTAGAAAGTTGGCAACTGTGTTCAGGTCTCTCTCTATAATTGGTTGAGCTGGAACACTGAATTTGATTCCGCTCCCAAACTCTGGGGAGGTGTGGATGCAAATCGCATTGCGGGTGACAATGGCCCACCTCTAACTGGTATGTTTGTACATGACACCCTTGCTCAGTTTTCTCATCCCAGTGCTCAGATGCAGGACTAAGCTTTTACAAAGCTCTGTGCAGTTTGCAATTGATATGCAATCTAATGCTTCAGAGGTCACCAAAGGAATGTGGGTGAGGGTCCAGGAAGAGAAAGCAGCTGTTCCCAATACAAAGAAAATAAAACTCCATTTAGACTAAAACTCTTTGTTCCCCAAATCACACATTAAAGTGAGTCACATTCAATTAAATTAAGTGCATGGTTTTATTAAATATCAATCTACTGCACTTGTCAAAATGAGGCTTGCAGATATCATTACACAATCTACAAGCACCGATAAATCATATTCATGTGGACTCTCATTGTCACACTTAAAACTGCTAGGGCTGAAACATTTAGCAACATATCTCAGCACAAACTGACTACAAACAATTACTGTCAAAATAAAATGATCCCTCTAAAACTGGGATTTGATTCTTGGATCCTGTTTCCTAATTTCTTCTGCTGAAAGGAGCATTTCAGAGCAATGTGCCCAGTTCCCAGGGATGAGCAGAGACGCCTTGAATTGTACAGCAGTGACCTCGCAGCAAATGAAGGAGCAGCACTGCCAAAGGAAACACCTACATTTTGCAGGGGATGGAAAGATGTTGACTATGCCATGGGTCCTTGCAGGGATAGGACTACCCAGGGCTCAGGGTATATATGCTGTTTGCACTACAGCAGTTTCTTCCATTTTGAGATATTATCAGTTCCAACCTTTATATCCCATTTTTATCACCAGAAATCCATCCCACACTGGTACCACCTTTCAAAGTAGAAGAAACTGCAACCAATCTAGAGATATATTTTAATGCTTTTTGAAAACTGAAGTCTCTAGATAGATAGACAGATAGAAGCACAAAATGGGGGAGGTCTAGGTTGGATATTAGGAAAAACTGTTGTACCAAGAGAGTGGTGAAGCACTGGGATGGGTTACCTACAGAGGTGGTAGAACCTCCATCTCTGGAGGTTTTTAAGACATGGCTTGATAAAACCCTAGCTGGGATGATTTAGTTGGGGTTGGCTCTGCTATGGGAAGGGGGTTGGACTCCATGACCTCCCGAGGTCTCTTCCAGCCCTAGGGTTCTATGAGAACAAGATACACAGTAACGCAACTAAAGTGTATTTTGTAAATAATTTTCACACTCCACAAAGAAGGGCATAGCATCACAAATCAGTGAAATATGTATCAGCAACTCCAAAAATAAGCAAAAAAAAATGTCCATATACACTCTAGAATGGGGCTACTTAACTTTGGAAGCCCCAGGGGCCACAATGATACTCACAGCACATGCCAAGGGCCGCAACTTAAGTGTGGTTGTATATACATGCAAATGTATATGCAAATAGCTTCTTTCACACTGACAGGCATGAATACAAAGATTAAGGCAAGACTACACAACACGCAGGCCCCATGTAAGTCAGTTCTGCTGATATTAATAAAATGCAATATTTACCCGATTTCCACCCATATGACAGCACTTTTAATGAGCCATTACAGTCCAGTAATTTAACGACTAAAATGCATATCAATAGAAGACCATTATATTGACAACTTTTTTGTTTTGGCTCCCACCTGCAAACAAACGGGCTGCAGGCTGCATGTGGCCCACAGGCTGAGTTTTGAGTAGCCCTGCTCTAGAATATTTTGTTAGTAACATTCCATCTAGACTAAAACTCACCATGGTCCTTTCTAGCTTTACGAGGGTTTTGTTTTGTTATAATTCTACTGCTACTCAAAATTATTTCCACATTATTTCCAAAAATTGCTCAATACTTCAGATCACTATAGAAAAGCCAAAGATTCTTTTTAAAAAACCACTGTAGAAATCTCTCCTTTTCTCTCAAAAACTGGAGATGGAAGACTCTGGCTAAGACAACTATAATGTACTAGAAGACTTATCTGGCTTTGCTCAGGGACAGCCTGGAGGTGGGAGCCATGTAGCCCTCCTGCCAGCACTCCCCAGGCCTGGCTGGGGCAGAAGGGGGTTTGGCTGCACTGGCCAGCTGGTGCAGCTATGCAGAGCAACTTGATGGTGCTGGGGAGGGCCTGCTGTGGCTCCTGTGGCAGTGCTCTTGGGGGAGGCTCGGTGGGGGTGGTGGATCTGCTCCCCCCACTCTTCTGGTCTGACATAGAGGCCAAGGAATGGGGAGGTAGGAATTTGGGCCCGTGGCAGGCAATGGTGAGCCCTGTCCTCAGTTGGCCACTCCCTTGGTCACTCTGCAGTATAGCTCTCCCCTCCACTCACTGACCCCAGTGGTGACTGTGAGTATAGCGACCCTCCGCTCAGCCGCCTCCCTTTCCATCTTATGGAAAACAATCAGATTCCAGGCTCATCCTGTTTTCCTGGCACAACCAAACTCTGACTTTGTTTTAAGTTAAGATAAGAGGAAGCTGAAAACCATATTTGGAGGTCCTAACTTTTACAGTTTAAGGGCTTATCTAGACTACACTAACGTGTTGA